ACTCTTCTTTTTTTCTTTTTTTTTGGCCCCGCCCCGGGGGGGGGGGGATTGGTTAGTTATCCATAATGACTCGTCGAGTTGCTTTCTTGGAGAGGTCAGGAATATTGGCATTGGTAGAATTTAACGCCTACAAAGCACCAAACTTTGTCGGAGACCTTTGCACAATATGCTTGCTTGTTATATTTCTCCAAGGTCCAATGTTGGCCCACATCTCAGTATTAACAGTTGCAAAACCTCATCTCTAACTTGCCCAGATGACTTTCCTCTAAAACGGGGAAGGTATTCAATCTTTTTGTGTGCTATCGGCCGAGATGAGGGAGATTCGTAGCCAAGTCGGCGACAGAAGCGACCTGTTGTGCAAAAGATTCCGAACACGGCAAACCTCTTTTCTCCGCCATCCTTTGGTGCCCAACCTAATCGAACACACTTGTTTCTAATTTCGTGAGGAACCGTCAGGACGCGTGGAAGTGCTAATCTCGAAGGAACCGTCAGGTCAAGTGGAAGCGCTAATCTCGATTTCGGTCCGAGTCGTCGGCCACGGCTATGTGTGCTGTTCAAAATGGAAGATGGTTCACAGGCTCGAGGACAGGATGTACGCGGGGCTTGACCGAGGATATCACAGTGAACTCTGGAGCCGGTTGCGCCAGTAGACGTAGTGGTTGCAAGCGCGGTAGATCCACCCGATCGGGGCCTTGTGCAAATATAGATAACATCATCGCTTCCGTTCATGTTGTGTCGTTGTCCTCCGTTTGGTTGAGTGAAGAAAAATGTTAGAAAACCAGGGAGGGGTAGAAAAGCACAGTCCGCCTTATTTGTGGATCACGGAACCGTCGCATAACTACTCACTAACTAACTATTGATAACTAACGCTCAATCAATACTGCGCTGGGTTCTAGGGGCAGGTATTTCATAATACCAGAGTGGGTGTGTTCCGTTCCTCCGTGGTTCCAGTCCAAGTACATTAACAGTTACTTCCACCTTACTGCTATCCGTACCACCCATTTATTATCTCCTGCATCGTAATCGTGGTACTCGTGTACTTCTCGTAGACCGCGATGTAACACACACAAACATTCCCACGAAGTGATTGTGGTCTTGGACCAAGGATGTGTCCTGTGGCCATCGCATACTGCTTCAGGTAGGTATTATGTGAGGACGCCATTAATTTCACAGTATTCATCTGGATCTTCCACCTTCCTAGCAGCTTGCTTCGCGGCGTCATCTGCAATCGCATTCAGCGTTCGAGGGATTCTCCAGAATTGAATCTTCAAAACTGAATCATCCCACAGCTCGATCGGAGTCAGTACAGCGACCAGGTCAACGGCAGATCGTTTCGGGAGCGCGCTGGCTTGCTGTGGGTGGAGGACTGTTTGCTCGTTTTCCACCCATTGCATACCCAGCTACGAATCCACGTCG